GAATGGTAAGTATTTCTCCATTTTTAATTGGAAATTACAATTTTTGAATCTAAATACGGGACTTCTCAACGTTCGAATTAATTGGATAAATATGGGTAACGGATACAGAGTGAAAAATCAATGTAACAGAGTAGTGAAACACACAGACTTTTAAAAGAAGCAAACTATGTGATGGATTTTTTGAGAAATATACAGAATTTGAGTCAAAGTTTAATTATATTTTTCATGCTAGCTTCGCCCTTACAATTAGGATTTTGATTCGATAGTAAAGACGTTACACGTGATTTATGGAACACGTATCACAAATTTAACTTTATTACAAATAAAACTAAATATTAAGTCGTAGAAAGAAAGGTAGAGGGACGGACTCATACTCTTTCGGAATTCCAAACGTGTACGCCAAATAGAATTATAATTATAAGAAGAAAAAAAACAAATCGTTAAAAATTGCTTTTTACGACACTTTCTGACGCAAAATTTGTTTGTATTTTATGGATTTTTTTTCTTATTTGTCATTTGAATAAGTCAAAAACACAAGTCCAAAACTCTTATGATGCATCTTTTATTTTATTTTATATAATATATTTTTTTATTTTTTATTTTTAAAATGACGCGATTTTGATTTTTATTTTTTAAATGAGAATATTTAATAGTTATACAAATACAATGATATATTTGAGTTTATAAGTTTAATTTTTTGTTTATAAACACGCAAATATTATGAAACTTTTAAATAATCTTCATATTTTTCATATATTTTTTTACGTAAATTATTAAGTCTCTGAATAAATTAATTTTCACTTTCAAAATAAATTTGTCTTCAACTCTTTGTCTTTTTTTCTTATCTTATATATATATCTTTATTTCATAAAACACAACTGGTTATTCATTTGAATGATTTTATTTTAACTCATATCTGTCATGTTTTTGACTTTAGCATTTTGTTCACATAGACAATTACAAATATATAGGATCCAAATAATATCATAATGGAATATACTTCGGATCGTTTTCGTAGAATGTATAAAAATAATATTAATTATAACATAAATTAATAATGTTGAAACTATTGTTATCCATAACTTGATCTAGTATATTAAGTCTGAAGAGATTTTAGTTTTAATCTTATTTTCACTAATACGACCTATGAAATAACTTTTTTGTGGTCAAGATATATAAGATCAGACGGTCGATTTTTCTCGATAAATAATCTTGTAACTCATAATAACTTCGCAATTTTTTACCTATGAATTACTGAAATGATTCAAAACTCACAATCTACGTCTAATTACTTCTCTAGTAAATAACTCATGTGTTGCAAAGCTTACGACGTTACTAAATAAGGTTTATTTAATTAACTTCAATTATTAACTAAAGATAAATTTTAATTATTTTATAAATTTATTAATAATTACCCCTTTATTCAATTTTTTATTTTTTTTTACCAATGTTTGAAAATAATGCCGTTGCCTTCATCATGAAAAAGGCCCATAATATAGCATCCCTTTCAACTTTAAAAATGTCACATTTTTATGTAACTTTTCACTCGTGCACCTCCCACCCCACTATTATTATTAATAATACTATATTATTGATATTATTTTAATAATAATAACAATAATAATAATACTCCAAACAAGTTTTTTGACCTATATACAAAAATATCTCACATTATTTGAATTTTTGTTTCTTTTTACTATTAGACTCTTTTTCAATCCTTTTTCAAACAATCATTTCGCTCCGTATTCGATATCTATATTGAAATTCGACTAAATTTAAATTTATGTATTACATGATTCATTTTTGAGGATTGCCTCTCAACAGAACTTATTTTATTCGGAGAGACTCGTGTCCAATTATAACATGTTTTAATTTGTGTAGTTTGATTATACTATTGTTATTCTATTAATTATTATTTTTCGTCCGAAATTGTTCTAATCTTGAGCAGAGGGTCTATCAAAAAAATATGTATCGCTCTACCTTTAAGATAGAGGTTAGGTTAACATACTATACTCTTATCTTGTTTAGACTCAATTTTATGGGACAACACTGAATATATTATTATTACTGTTATTATAAAAAAAATTAATTTTAAAAATTTAATCGAGAATAGAGGAATTTCAACGTTTCCATTTCATCTCATCAATTATAATAAGTTGCTTTCTCTTTTTTTTTTTAACACTTTCGATTTATCGGTTATATGCTTACACAGACAGTATAATAAATAATTTTATATGATCAGTATAATTTTATATGAACACTATAATTTAATTTGTCATAATAAGTTATTTACCTATCATTTAAACTAGGTTAGGGGTGGATGTTGTAGCATTTTTTGATCCTTTATGTTATTGGTAAATGTAATTTTAATTTTTTTTATGATTAATTAAGTATATTTAACTTTAAATTATTTGGAATGTGTGTCTTATATTCAATTTGATTGTGAATATTGACAAATTTTGAGAGTTAGTAAATGTTTTCGTTATTTAGTTATTCATGTGTTATGTTTAATTTGTAGTGTTATTTCATATTTCGAAATAATATACTTGTAAGTAAATGGATAAAAATATATTTTTTGAACTAATTGAAGATTAAATATGTTGAATTATCTATCACAATGACTAAAATTAAATTTTTCAATAATTAACAAAGCGAATCCCATTGAAAATCTTCGAAAATGGTGAATATTTTTATATTGATCAGTGTAATTTAACATGTTATAAATATTAATTAGTTGATGCTATTAAATAAAGTTCTGTATAATTATTTCTTAAATAATCTAATAATGTAAATATTTTTTTATACGTATATCAGAACATGAAACTTAAAACTCTATTACGATAGATGCTCTTCTAGGGACACAATCAAAAATCAAACAGTCCAAAATTGCAAAAAGTAAAATAAAATCATATCTTGGCATGGATTATGACTTATAATCTTGTCTAAAATCCAACATTTTTAGGTCCCATGTTTTTATTAATCCCCACAAACAATATTTTTTTATAAAAAAAGTGATCATAGACAAATTTAACAATCTTGATTAATTATTAAGGTTTTGTCATAATTAACGTTTGTAACAATTAGTACTAGTAGTAATTAATTAGTAGGGTCTAGTTAGGTTGATTTGGTGGTGAATTGATAGGAGTGGGACACAAAAAATAAAACATGTCCAAAAAATTTGTTTCTTCAAATTAAAGTTAAATATGTTGTTTCAAACATTATGATGAATTTGTCTTGAAATAAAGGGGATGTACTATGACTTTGTGGCCATAGACATGACTAAAATCAATCATGTATGGTGTGTCTTTGTTATTTATGATCGAAAAAATTATCTGAAGTCGGTTTGAATTAACAAGTGTTTGAAAGCCTCAAGTAAATAAGTATTTTACAAATTTTCGACATATCATTAATAATTGGTCAATTTGATTCTTTGGAAAAACTCGATGAATTTGGGAGATCACTTTAGGAGAGCATAATGACTGTGGATGAATATATCGGATGGTTTCGATCACGACCTAACTATACCTACCGTCTTTCCTTTTGGATCAATATCAGTTGTTCGTCTAATGATAACTCTTTGGTTGAACCGGTATATGCTTATGTCAAAGCCTTTTAAACTCGAAG